AGAGCTGGCTCGATTACCTATCTGATTATCACTACAGTGTATAATTTTAATTTGCTTGTTACACAATGGAGCCTAACTTATTGTAATCATTATTTATATTACACTTTGAATTATTCCTTGGCATCTTCACGTACTAAACTGCATTTAGTTTTATTGTTTGCGTGCTGGAGGTATTATTACACTATTACGTCGTGTGCAGAGTGATGTTAACATTTAAGCTAGCTGGTGAGAGAAAATGGCACTAACAAAGAGTCGGAAAGTTGACAGGGAAAATAGGACAAAGACGAATGGAAAGACAACTATGCATTCATCCTACCTAGTTTTGTAAATGCAAAGCCGGTGTGTCTTATCTACGACGAAGTTGTCGCTGTTTGCAAAGAATATAATATTAGACATTTCATGACGGCTATTTTAGAGGTGTGTCTAGCGATCCACAGACTCTTTTGCGATCCACAGACTCTTTTGAATGTCTTTCAGATCTTTTCAAATTTAAAGCTCTCAATTCATCTCAAAATAAAACATTGCTGCAAAAACGTTCTCATACTTTTATTTTGAAGGCAAAATCACTAAAGACAAAGTTTTTGTGAGTAACTGTTGCTGTCGATCTATTTCAGAACCAGCCGCTATCAAAATAATCTGGCTCCAGGCGCGGGCCAGATATTATTGCATAGACGTTGCTACCTCACCCAAATGGTATTAATTTTATTTGTGCAGGTCGTAAAGGTCTTAAAAAGCCTATCATGGGAAGACGTCTTGAATAAAAACTGCACATAAATATGGCTCGGACTGTTTAATTGTGGATTGATTCATTCTATCACAATTATGGGACCCTGTGTCTGAGAGTGTCTTATTGCTTTAGCCACTAGATGGCGGTGTGTCCTAGTGTTTTAGGACACCTCTTAGCCCTAATAAAATCACTGTAACAGACAGGGGCCAGGCCAGAAATGTTCAAAAGGTTAGGCCTTCATAAAACAGGGTGGGCAAAAAACAACAACTGCATGCTAAATTATCAGGGGAAAAAACATTGTAGTTTTTAAAGGGATACTCCACTTTTTTTGGAAATAGACTCATTTTACAACTCCCCCAGAGTTAAACTGTTGAGTTTTACCGTTTTTGAATCTATTCAGCCGATCTCCGGTTCTGGCGGTACCACTTTTAGCATAGCTTAGCATACATCATTGGAGTGGACAAGACCATTAGCATTTCTAAAAAAAAAATGACCAAAGAGTTTCGATATTTTTCCTATTTAAAACTTGACTCTTCTGTAGTTACATCGTGCACTAAGACCGACGGAAAATGTAAAGTTGCGATTTTCTAGGCTGATATGGCTAGGAACTATACTCTCATTCCTGCGTAATAATCAAGAAACTTCACTGCCGTACCATGAGTGCAGCAGGCGTAATGATATGACGCAGCGCCTGAAAATAGGAGTAGCCCCAGAGTGCAGTCTGGACGATGGGGCGGGGCGACACTTTTAGGTGGGGCCAGAGGGGTGGGGCGACACGTGTCGCTCCGCCCACACCCGATTTTATTGGTTTATAATACAGCAATCTTATTGGCATAGAAGCTTGAGGCACGAGCATGCGCATTCCTTTATGTACGAGTTTATGAATTATCTATGGCGCTGTTTGGCCGTACTATATTAAGTGATAACCATTGCGATTTCAGTAACGATCAATTGGATAATGTTTTGATGAACTTACGAATCAAGTTAGATGAAGTTACTGTCAAAATGTATTCACAATTTACATCGTTTCAAAGCAGCTTTACAAAAAGTCATATTGTAAGCTTTAATATTGAGCAGTTTTATGGCTTGGCGATATCACAAAATATGTTGCTGATAAATAATACACTGTTTGAGATTTAGCCTATACTATATTAATTTACCCTGCAGATAAGTCAGTGCCACTTTTGGTGGGCAATGAGCATGACTGCATGAAATTACTGGCAGATCAAAGGAGAGATCATTTCTATGTGGGCTAATTTAGACATTATTTTTCCGCATGTCATGCAGAGCTCCTTAATTTTACATAATTCGTTTATGCTTCTTCGTTTTTCCATTAGTATCAGTGAATAAACACAAACTCGGGATTTTACACAAATTATGATAATTCCCTGTATTTCAGTAAAACAAAGGAGAAATCCGAAAGTGTGTTTTATTTTATTTTAAAGCAAAACCACGGTGACAAATAAGACAGGCTACCAAATAGCAAGACCTGGCCATTGGGTAATGTGTGTACAATGGGAATAAAATCCGTGCAGCGCTGCAATGTGAAAATAAATGTAAATTTTTTTTTTTTTTTTTTTTTTTACTAAAACAGATGTTATGTTGATCTATAGCAAATATTACAATGTAGGCTATGTGCTCAAGAGCGTATTTAAGCAATTGGCCTACATGTTCATATCACTTCTCTGCTGGGTGTTTTATTTATTTTATTACAGCCTATTGTAATTGCACAGATTTATAGCAGTGTGTTTTTTTATGGTTATGCAGCTAGCCCAGTGGTCTCAAACTCGCGGCCCGCGGGCCATTTGCGGCCCGCGGGGTGATATTTTGTGGCCCCCTACTTGACATTAAAGTTGAATGTTAGTGCGGCCCGTCGTTTGCGTGTGCCGCGTTTTAATTTTTTTTTTTTTTATCCCTTACGGGCTACCATAGATAGTCTCGTGACAGCTTACGGTGGGTTTGTTGTCAATAGTTGTCATAGATAACCGCGAAGTACAAACATACTGCGCCTGGAAAAAATGAGCGCGTCGCTTCAATTATGAGCGCGCTTGCCGCGTGCCTACATTTGAAATAGCGAACTTGAGCGCGCAATATATGTGAGCGCGATTATGTGAACGGCCCCTTGTCCCCAATCAGGCCACGAGCTACTGGCAGCTCGCGAGCAACGTGTTGGAGACCCCTGCTCTAAAACAATGTGAGAATAATCATTTTGAGCTTGTAATATGTGTCCAACAGGTTGATAAGAAGGTTTGCTTTGATTTGTGCAGTCAGTAATTTGAGACACTATACATGTGTAAAAAGAATTCAATAAGACGGGCAGACATGACTGCAAAAATTTGTATTTCAAAAGCAATAATTGTTTTTCTAAGTATAATAAAAGGAAATGTGCCTTCCAAAAAAAACATTCAATATCATTAATGTGTTGTATAAAGAAAATAAAAAGGACATAAGCAAATATAAATATCACAAATATGTGTTATAGACAAAGAAAGTTTGTAAAATGAACTTCAACTGTCAGAAGGACAGCTCATGAAGAACCAATCATGTACAGAAAGGAATGTTCAAATTCAGAGGAACAGTTCAGAAGAAATGTTAATAATAAATATTGAGAAGATTGGATCAGTTGTGTTCCTTTTTTGGAATACTTGAATACTATTTTTTTGTGGAATACTTGATGCGGCCCAGCCTGACCCCGACTCTACCTACAGCGGCCCCCAGTTAAGTTGAGTTTGAGACCCCTGAGCTAGCCTATATGTGAGTGTTAATATTTGTAACCATTTTTATCCAGTAGCCTACATGAACATGAACACGCAATGCCATGGTGGATGAATAAACAATTGGATTTTTAATACCTGATGTCACAGTCACAGATAGACAGTCGTACATAACCGGTTGACACTTATTAGAAAACATGAATCTTTAAAAAATATAACAGGTCTTTACAGAACCAATAGGACCTCATATTGTATGAACAGGTAATCAACCAGTAAAAGTGTTTGCCATTAAACATTTTATTTGCACTTTGTACCAAATAATGCCAGCATTGGACAATCTCGTTAAAAAAAAATGACAACAAAAAACGGTCATGCTTTAGAATTTAAAATCAGCTGCTTACATTCTTACAGTCAATTATCATCATTTGCGTAAAATCCCGAGTTTGTGCTGATCCACCGATCCTGATAGAAATATGAAGCCAAGTGAATGACGCACTAATCTAATGTAAAACATCTCCCTGAAGTACAAGTAACGTCACCAAGCGTTCGTTTTTAAACAATAACTTAATCTATACTGTGTCTTAAGTATAATAAAGTATTAGCCAATAGATATTAACAAAAATTACCATGGTAAACTGATAAGATACGATTAAAGTTAGCATTTAATATTTCTTTGATACGGCCAAATCATTCACAAAATCGTACATAAAGGAATGCGCATGCTCAGACCTGAATCGTTTACACCAATAAGATTGCGGTATTATAAACCAATTAAATTGGGGATGGGCGGAGCGACACGTGTCGCCCCGCCTAAAAGTGTCGCCCCGCCCCATCGTCCAGACTGCACTCTGGGGTACTACGAAAATAGATCCGTTGTGTTGAAGGAAGGTGGCCTATTTTCAGGCGCTGCGTCATATCATTACGCCTGCTGCTCTCATGGTACGGCAGTGAAGTTTCTTGATTATTACGCAGGAATGAGAGTATAGTTCCTAGCCATATCAGCCTAGAAAATCGCAACTTTACATTTTCCGTCGGTCTTAGTCCACGATGTAACTACAGAAGAGTCAAGTTTTAAATAGGAAAAATATCGAAACTCTTTGGTCATTTTTTTTTTAGAAATGCTAATGGTCTTGTCCACTCCAATGATGTATGCTAAGCTATGCTAAAAGTGGTACCGCCAGAACCGGAGATCGGCTGAATGGATTAAAAAACGGTAAAACTGAACAGTTTAACTCTGGGGGAGTTGTAAAATGAGCCTATTTCCAAAAAAAGTGGAGTATCCCTTTAAGTTCAAAGTTACAAAACTGCAAATAAGAAATTACCTACATGATTGAATGAATTTATATATGGTCAGAGACTTGCACGTGTCACTGTATTATTAACATTTGACCAAAATCAAGCTCAAATTGAAGTTTTTGACCAGCGAATTTCTGAATTTGACCATATAGTGCATTGTGTGCCTTTCACTATATAGAGAATAGTGCATAAGTAAACAAGTGAGTCAGTTTGAATGCAGTGTAAAGGAAAGTTACTCAACATATGTTTTTGTTCCCTGCTAGGAGCTGTCTGAATCTTCTGTTGTCATTCCCCGGGAAAATCCCTGGTGCCTTATGGGAAGAGTTTCAATCTTCTGTCAAGGTCAGAGACAAGACTTCATTAAATGTTTTTATTAACACAAGGTAATGTGCAGTATCTTCTTGTGGAATTGGTGGATGGACCTGGCTTATCAAATTATTATTACATTCATATAAGCATCAAATATAAGCATCACACAACAGCATTTCTAATTGGTATTATTATTTTAAGAACGTATTGGGTAAGAGATCCAAATAAAGAATACACACCAGATGGCTTGGTTAATGGCTTTATGGGTTTACTAAACACGGAAAACTATTTTCAATGCACATTTCATCTCTCTGCCGTCGATTATGTGATTGCTTTCATTACACAGAGAATATATGGGACCTGTGCTAGCAAAATAAGTCAGAATGAGCTAATTATATATATATTGTTACTTTCACATTCTACAATTTAAAAACCTTCAAAATGATATATGATTTTTAAAAAAAGGAATGAGATACACCTGTTTGAAGTTGATAGAGTCAGCAAAGTCAATTTTGAGAATATTCAGATGTTTTCTGAACGTTTCGAAACAAAATCACCAAGCAACCATACCTTAAACTCCCTGGTAATAACACCAAATTTGGCACACACCAAGTCAAAACTCATATCTATAGGGAAAATATTTGTTCAACTTTATTGAAAATATTTATATAAAGAATTTTTAACATTACCTGACTGATTTTTCTGCTTAGCAGTCAGAGTTTAAGAAGCGTGTCTCTGGTTAATGTAGCAATTCATGTTGCAAAATTATGCAACAAAATATCATTAATAACAATAAATAACATATTGACAATTTCATGTTAACAAGTTTATTTAAAAAGACTAAATTCTGTGAAAGAATTTTCATGATTTTTCCTGCATGGATATGTGGCCAGATAAATAGTGATCAACACAGCTAGCAAAGTTCATTTTAATACATTCATGACAGTTTCATATTGTGTCCATGCCCAACCATTGTTCAAGATTTGCTACATTAATGTCCACAATCATCTTATTTTGGTTATGGCATAATAAGTTGAGCTAAATCTCAATTGGTCCGACAAGATTCGCCGACTGCAGTGCATTTATAGCATTAGCCATCGACTGAGCACTCTCGCTATCATCCATATCCGTTACAAAACAGGCATACATCGAAGAAAAATGTAATTAAAAGCTTGAAAATGTTAAATTTCTGCCGTGTTTACTTTTCGTGTTTTTGGGGGGTGTTGCCCTTAACGGAGTGTCTATTTACACTATTTCCACCCACTGACATCTGGTTTGGCCAGACAAAATTACAGAAGACATTCAATTGCCAACAGTATCAATAGAGGGTTAAGGTGTGTGGCAGAAAGTTTTGATGCAAATCGACCGGAGTTCGAATCCGCCTTTTGCTGAACTCTTTCTACTCGCTTTTCCCATCACATATCAGATGTGAAAGCCATTTATTGCCAATAAAAATGAAGAGAATATTCGTAAAGTGGAAAGAAGGTGTCTAACGTGTGTTTAATAATAAGTGTTTATTGGTTAGGGGGAGTTGTAGGGAGAGCTTTATTGTCCCTATAAGGCGGCATTCATTTTCTCATAATATACATTGCACATCACCACATTTTTACTGAATTCTCAAACAACTTGATGGATGAATCAGTCTCTCTAAATCCCTCCTTTCCGCGAGCCTGCTCTGCTCTGATTGGCCAGATGGCCCAGTCTGTTGTGATTGATCTACCGCTTAAAGCGTATTTCGGAAGCTAAGCAGCTATTACATAACCGGAGGCTTCCTAAAGCTCAGCAATTGTACACACTACACACAGTAACGATGACGTCGATCTTACCATATCAATCCAAGCACGAGTCCCATGATGAAACATTGTAAGAACTATTTATTCAACCCGAATCTCCATGGCAAAGACGACTTGAGCAGGACGTTTCTCAGTGATACGCTACTCAGTTTGAGGTACATTATGAGATGTTGCAACTGTAATTACTCACCATCAGCATTAACAAGTGTATGTCCATCAACAAACCTAAGTGTATATTTCTAATTTATTGCGGTGCACATGCGGGAACTGTGTCAATAACGGTGAATACGTTCACCCAGGACTAACGTGAATGACTGATGTAACAAACGTTTGTAAAACAAATCTTGCTCCATCCTTTATCTTTACTTAAAGTAGTGAGAACGACAGACAATCTGCATTAATAGACACAGTTTTAGGTAAGAGTGGCCCACAGCTGCTTAGCAGAAGTATTTCAGTAAGACACTAATAACGTGAGTTAGCCAGTTAGCAGGAAACTTACACAATATAAAACACAAAACTAATTATTCATACTTACAGGTTGTGATTCTGAGGAGCAGGCTGGTCCAAATAAACTGGGCACTGACCCATCTTTCAAGAGCAAGCGTTTAGCGAATCCCATGTTGAACTCCGAGATTTGAGAAGCAGTCGTCAGTAAAGTGACGTGTTGTGGGCTGGTCAAGTTGTTTACGGGCGAACAACGTACAACATAGGTGGGCATTATGCAAATGCATTTTCTAGTGATGTTGAACCGTCACGCAGTGAGATTCGAAATACAAACGACTCGTATTGGCGGATCAGAGTCGATTTCTTTCTTTTGGGAGACAATAACTTTATTTATTGTGCACTTTGACTTTACAACTTTGCCGAACGTTTACATTCACAAACAGCTACACACTGCATGAAAGGGAATATTCGAAAAACATAATAGGGGCACTTTAAGCTCACGAAAACTTCCAGTAATTGGCGATCCTGTTGAAATTGAAAAATCCTGATCAGAGCACCCTTAGTTTTTGAAAAAGAAGAATCTAATGACTGTTTACAAAATAATCCTATCTAGTCTGAATGTGTAAGTCATTCTGTTGTGGATGCACTCTTTCCATAACACGTTAAAATATTAGCAAATAAACACAAAGAATTCACATATTTGTAATAATGTAATTTATAATGTTAGTAGGACTGCAACAACTAATTGATAAAATCGATAATAATCAATAATGAAAATAATCGACAGCGTATTTGATTATCGATTAGTCGTATCTGCGTGCTGTGCACGGAAACTTGTGAATATTAGGGATAGGGTTATGTGTAGGGTTAGGTGTGGCTGGAGTTAATTAAGGTTTAAAAAGCTTTGTTTTAATACTGTGTTGATGATTTCTTTGATGCAGGTGGCTCATGACATCCTTCAGGCACGTGGAAACCCGCAGCTTCACTCCCTGTTGACTCTGGTGGAGGAGAATGGTGTGTGGTCCAACTCCACTCTGTGTAGCCTTCTCTCAAGTGACATCCCTAATGTAGAGAAAGGTAAAAGTGCTTTTACCGTCTATCACTTTTTTATTTGGAATATTCTCTCTTTTATGGTTCATACTTATTTGTTCCAAATTTTGGTAATAATGACATTCATTTATAATAGTACTACTACTATTTTTAACTTTTTTGGATGTGCGTCTTCTGTAGTACATGAGTTTTTATCTCGAGAAGGACCTGAACTACTTCATATGCGTATAAAGCACCTCATCAAACTGAAGCGTATGGATAAAGCTGCAATACTGGCAAAGATATGCGCAGAGTTTCCTGAATTTGGAGGAAAGAATAACTTTAAACAAATCTACCTCGTATGTCTGTGTGAAATAAAGCCACAACAAGAACTTATGCAAGAGGTGAGGGTCTTTTTTTTTTTAAGTCAGTTTATATTGTATTAATACTGAAGTTCAAGCATATTTACAAATTTATTTCTGCTCTAACATGTTTTGTTTGTTTTGAAATTATCAAGCTGTTTGTGTTCCTTATGTTATCGACAATTACAGTTGTATGCATGAGTGGATTGTACATGAAAAGCTCTCCTCTGTAACAAGCAGTCTTTATTTGTTGAATTAAGCAGTTTGAGCACCTCCAGAGGTTACTTCCTACAATTTGAATTTTTATGTTGAACTTCAGAATTAATATTTCAATCATATTTAAAATGTATAGTCTTGCACAACATGAATATATGAATGCCTCTTTTCTGTGTCATGATAGAATCGCTATAATTTTTAAAGGGTTAGCTCACTCAAAAATTTAAATGTAACATTTATTTACTCACCCTCATGTGGTTCCAATCCCAGAAGACTTTGAAGAAGATCTTCGGAGCACAAATGAATATTTTTAATATGCTCTCATCCATGATCAATGCATATACATAGAGTTCCTCAAATATGGTAAGCATGAAGGCTCAATTATACTTGCTTGGCATGCGGGAACAAACTCCATTGGGCTTCTGTGTTTGCCCTGTTTGATGTGTGTATGTGCATTATGAATGTGTGTTCTTCAGTGTTTATATTGGAGTAAAAAGCTAAATCTTACTGTAATATCATATAAAGTTCTTCCGAAGACTGCGATTAAACCGCTCAATTCATACAGATTACTTTTACAATGTTTTTTTTTAGGTATTGATGCATGAAATTTTTTGTTGCATTCAGTTTCAATAGCGGGACAAAAATGATGAGAATTTTCATTTGTGTTACAAAAGATAAGAACAGACAAAAGAACAGAACTCTTTTGGGTTTGGACCAGGGACGAGGGCCGCAAATTAGCTTTATGCTATATGGCCTATGTACAGTACACGGCCTTGGTTGTCTGTGTGTAACAATGCCTACTGTATTGTCCCTGTTAAACAAACAAAATGGGTGAGCAAATGATGACAAAACTTTCCTTTTTGTGTGATCTATCCCTTTCATTAATCTGTTATTATTATCATTTTTTTATTATTATTTAATTTTCATAAGCTTGACTATTGCAAATAATGTGTGACCTAAATTTACTCTGTTATGTTTGGTAGATAAAGGAGGTAGACTGTAAGGAGGCTCTGGACATGATTTGTAATTTGGAGTCCGAGGAAGACGAGAAGGGAGCTCTCAGTCTTTGTACTGCATTTTTCAAGCGCCAGCTTCTCAGTGGGGATGCTTATTGTGCCTGGTAAGACATTTGTTCTGAGTTTTAAAGGTGAAGTATGTAGTTTCTGCGACATTAGTGTCACCTAGCAGAATTAGTGAAATAAAGCATATTTTCAATTAACCTTGCAAACATTGCATAGCACCTCCACCAACTCAAACATCACAAACACAGCTCTTAAGGCCTGTTCACACTGGGACGAATTTTGCGCGCAATATTCGCCGACGTTTAACGCCTCGTGACTAAACAAAGGGCGCCAATGTGAGTGTGCACACCGACACGAAAAACGCCACGCGTAAAAGCGTCATTTTTTAAAAAACGCCTCGGGTTCGTTTTTTTAGTTTGACGCGCTGCGTCAAAAACTATCCGACCAATGAGATTGGCGCTTTTGCTCACGTGTCTGGAGCTTCTGAAGTTACAGTAAAACACAACTTGGGGGTGCTCAAACACAAAACGGTCTTGCCGAGCACACATAACGGCGAAGAAGATATACGCCAAGTAGCGTCTACACTGCCGGGAAGAAATAAGACAAGGAAGATGCAAGGCAAGATGAATGTAGAGCTGCTGGTCTCGTTGGTGTCGGGAATATAAAGAACTATAAGACAAACGTGACAGCGACTACAAAAATCTTGATAAAAGAGAATGTTATGGAGTGGTATTGCAGAGCAAATGGGCGCCATCTAATGTGAATTTGCATGTTCACTCGGCTCATCGTCAGCGAAAATTGCTTGGGTGTGAACACAAAAAACGCGTTGAAAAACGCTGCCGAATAACGCGCGCCGATATTCGTCCCGGTGTGTACGAGCCTTTAAGGGGCCTTGTGAAGGCATGTCTTAACTGGTAAAAGTTGGGCTTATTTCAATAAAAGGTCCAAAATTTTAGGAATACTTTAAGCTTTGTTGCTATGGGTCATGAGAAAGCAACTGAGTAGGCTTGCTTATAATATACCCATCCAACGTATCTGTACCAGGCACACTTTTTGACATGACGTGCCACACCTGTTTGAGGCTGAGTAAACGTTATAAACTTAGGGCCAGATTTACTAATAGCTGGCGCCAGCACAAACCCTCTTTTGGCATTAAAAAACTACTGTCAGGATTTACTAAAGACACGCAGTAGAAAGTTAGCACTGAAAGGCGGGGACACAGTTATTTTTGCGGCTGACCTTATTGCATATGCATTTGTAGAAGTTTCCCTTTCAGATGCAAAATTTATGGGAGGAGAATATTTAAATGAATCACGCAAGGTGATTTACTAAGGTTTGCGCTCGTCAAGTTACTGGTATTTGTGCCATTATTTACCGCCCAAAAAAAGCACGTCTTAAAGCAGATGCTGATTTGCGCTGCTCTTGATAGATTGCGTTGGTCATTATGGAAACGATCTGACTGTGTCTGTGTTCTTTAATTTGCGCGTTGTCAGTAGATCACATGGGGAACTTTCCACTCCCATCAGCGCTTTTTTGAAATTGCGCTCTCACGCTAATTTGCCCTGTTTAGTAAATCTGGCCCTTAGTCTTTCTGAACGGGTGCATGATGATGCTGCATGTTATTAAAGTGCCCGTTGTAGCGCAATGCATCGCAGTGCAGTCCCTGTACGCTTTGATGTGTTCATGAACTGTTTGATCTTCAAAGTTCTAAATGCAGGGAATTTTGGCTTGCACTTCTGTAAAACCTTAAAAGCTTTGCTATAGGTTGCTGGAAAGAGATTGACTGATCTGAGCGGACCGCTGTCAGTGTTTTGATGGTGCCAATGAATAGCAGACTAATAGTAGTCAATGAACAATAAACTGGGTTAAGAGAATGTACTGTTTTTTAACATGAAAAATCTTACATACTTCAACTTTAATTTTCAATCACTGTGCACTAGGGCTGCAAAAATAATATAAAATTAATTGTGTTTGTGATTTTGCCTGTTGTATTTCACTAAACGTGTCATTTCAGCTTTTCATTCAGTTCTGTTTCCATCATGTGAGGCTTTACTATATATATATATATATATATATATATATATATATATATATATATATATATGTGTGTGTGTGTGTGTGTATACTCTAGTGCGTGCATAATTATTAGGCAAGTCAATATTCTGATCATATATTTTTTCCAATCATTGAATGAAACAGTGATTAACGCTCCTCCAATGGCGCATTTGGACTGTGTCAGCGTCTATTTCATGTGCACAACATGGATAAGCTACAACAGGTAAACATGTCGGCTGTGTGTATACTAGCTGGGTTGACAATAATTGACACAAGTGTGATTTTAGTCGATATTGAATCGATAAATGAATTGATAAATTGAAAAATACAGATTTATACTGTTTTCATTAACTGCGTGAACAAAACTTTCAGCTTTCAATTTGATCACAAAATTCAAACAATAATGTTGTTTTGAAACTCTTTAATGTCAAAACACTCCTTAATGTTCAAGCAGCAGCACGGAGCGCAATGAACGATCATCTCTTCATCTTTACTACTGGTTATAGCACAAAATAAACATGAATGGACATAAGAAGGTATGTTGAAAAAAACAGTGCAACTTACTGAAATGTATAATTTCTCATTTAGTCGCTCAATCAGTTTCAATTGTGAAAAGACGTCAGTAAAAAAGCTTGCAAACAAAGTCACGTAACATTACATTTACCCTATTGAAGCAATTCAATGTCCATAGCTCATTAGTTAACTAGAAAAGTAACTCTAGAGAGGAGCATTTTAATAAATATAGTAAAAATATAGTAAATGTGTTATATGGTGCATATTACATATTCACTTTATTTTGCTTAAACTGTTAGCTGCCTTATTGTGTAACTTAAATGTTTGTATACAAAGTTTTTATTTAAGTTTTTGATCATTCAATTAGATTAATTAATTGATCATTAAATAAGCTTTATTTTCATTTTCAATTTTCAGCTTATTGAAAACTAATTTAGGTTTTGGTGTTTCAGTAAAAAAAATTCAGAAAAAATCAGTAGTGGTATGTAATTGTGACTTTCCCATAAAGAGAAAAACGCCTTATATTCAGATGTACGAAATTATTAGGCAGGTAAATTGGGCCAAATGAATATATAACTGACACTGAAAAGTCAACAAATAGGAAATAGCCATGAGAAGGATGCAAGACTACAGAAATTTCACAATTAAGGCGTGTCCATCGGACAATGAAAAGCTTATTGGGTCAGCAGGGTTGCTAAAAATGATTGAAATATAAAGACACATTAACTGCAAAATGCTTTAAGAATGAAGTGTAAAACCACCAGAAACCCTTTACTCGCCAGTGACACCATTTTCCAGGACTGCAACCTTCCTGATATACCTATCGACTTGCATAATAATTATGCACGCACATGCAACATCACCTGACACAAGTATTTCGTGTTCACTGGCACAGAGGAAACCCCCTGATCATCATTGTTTTGTTCAGTGCAGGCTTTTTAACTGGCTGGGTGACTATGTAAACTCACTGACTGCACAAATGTCCCTGTTATAGTCAAGACATAGACACAGTGTAAATCCGAGATTTACTGTGCAGTGTAGACAGCTTTGTTGATTATAACAGGAGTTTTCATGAGCATGCATAAAAATGATGAAACAGTTTTGAAACTAAATAATTGTGAACACATTGGTGTGCTATATATATATATATATACATTATACTCATCATGCTAGCCTACTGTGTATTTTAAAGATACTTGTTAATTATTAAATAAGTTTTAGTGCTTGATTCAATTTTTAAGAGCTCATGGATCATATTGTATATCTTACAGGGAGCTGACACTGTTTTGGAGTAAACTTCTAATACGGCTCGAATCAAAACAGGCCTTTTTGGAGCAATGCAGACTGTTAGCATGCCTCGCTGTGAGTGTGTACCATATTCTTCTCCTCATCAAAGTCATTCAGGCTGAGGTAAGAAAAGTGTTTGTTTTTATATCAATGTTTTACAAAAACCAAGGCAATGGCACTGACAATGACATTTTTGTTTTCTCAGGATGAGAAAAATGGACTCTCAGTGTGCATCGAAATGTGTATTCAAGCACTAAAAATGGGAGTTCATGATAATGAGGGCTGTAATATCACTATCTGCAAAACAATCTCTTGTTTGCTGCCTTTGGATTTGGAAGTAAAACAGGCTTGTCAACTCACTGAGTTCCTGATAAATCCGTCTTTGGACTCTTACTATGCTGTTGAGACTCTTTTTAATGAGCCTGACCAAAAGCTTGAGCAGGAGGATCCACCAATTCTGAACTCACTACGCTGTGACCTGTTGTTGGCCTTAAAGACGAAGTGGCCTTTTGATCCAGAGTTCTGGGACTGGAAAACTCTAAAACGTCAATGCCTTGCTTTGATGGGTCAGGAGGCAACAGCTATATTGTCTACTGACAAATGTACTGACAGTGAAGACAATGAAGTCCATGACCATGATGAAAAATATTTTCAACATCTACATTTTACCAATAGTCCTACTTACGAACTCAGTGAAGTTGAAGCAGAAAGAAAGAAGAAAAGGGAAATGAAGAAGATGAGAGAGATGGGATTTGTTTCTGCTCGATTCCGCAATTGGCAAGCTTATATGCAGTATTGTGTATTGTGTGATAAAGAGTTCCTTGGACACAGGATTGTGAAGCATGCATTGAAGCATGTTCAAGATGGGATTTACCGTTGCCCAATATGTGCTAAAACATTTGAAACTAGGGTAGTTCTAGAGCCTCATGTGGCATCTCATGTGAAACAGTCATGTAAGGAACGCCTTGCTGCTATGGGTGTAAGCAAGAAACGTACCAGTATTGACACCAAGTTGACAGCAGCTAGCAGTACCGTGAGAAAAGAAGAGCACGACAGCAAAACTGCTGTGGAAGTTAGCCAAGGGACAGTTTGCAATAACAGTGTATATGCTTCAAACAGTACTCCCAGCACAAAAGTCAAAAGTAAAATTAAAGTGTCATCCCCCAAACAGGGCAACCCCATTCGTGATGTTAACAACACTGAATGTTGTTCATGCCCTGTTACAAGTTGTCAAAAAGTTTTCAAGTACTTCAGGAATTTGGTTGCACATGTTAAGGCCCACAAAAATGAGCAGGAAGCAATACATTTCCTAGAAATACAGAGCCAGAAGGCTTTGTGCCAGTATTGTCACCGTCAGTTTGTTAATTTGACCCATCTTAATGATCACTTGCAGATGCATTGTGGCGAGAAGCCGTATTTTTGCATTCAGCTTGGATGTAATTTCAGCTTTTCCTCTCATGCTGAGCTTCAGATACACAGAAAAGTACATGCTGAATTTCAGGCACAGTGTGCATATCCAAACTGTGAGAGAATATTCAACGAGACATACTTGTTGTATGATCATGAAGCACAGCACTACATGACGTTCTCCTGCAAAAGTCAAAACTGTGACAAGGTGTTCTACACTCTGTCTGAGCTAGATCTGCATCAGAAAGGACATGCAAAGAAGAAGGGCCACTCTGCTGTTGATGGGGGCTCACCTTCTCAACTTGAATTACTAACTCCGACTTTTCCTGCCTTAGAGCTGCCTCCAAGCCAAATGAAAGAGGTTTCTCAAGAGTTTACCCCAGTAGAAAGGAAGCACACAGTTGAAAGCATTACAGACACTATTCAAGACTCCACAGAACAGCCTGAGCATCTTGTGTCATGCACAGCTCAGTTGACAGTAAGTGAAAATGATTCCCTAACAACTAATGCTGTTCAGCCTGATGAATCTGAGACACCTCATTGTCTTGAAAGTACAAAGCAAATGCATCTTGAATCTTGCTTTGTAAAGCTGGAGCCTATTCCCATCAAGTGCAATGATCCGAAATATTTAGATGCTCTAAAGAATGCTGACAGTGAAACTCAAATACTCTTGAAAGATAAGAAATTGTTTTCTTTCACATTGCGTCAGCTTAAATCGTCCACATTGAAGTCGTCTCTCTCTGTGAAAAAAGCCAACAAAGAAGAAGGTCTGACTCATGTGTGTCCATTCGAAACCTGCACACGGAAATACAGCACCTCAAAAAGTTTGTCGAGACATGTCAAAAATGTTCATTCTGAAGCTTTTGAGGAATGGAAGTTATCTAAGAAGTACAAAAGGATTGCAGAAATTGCTGCAAAAAAGTCGTCGTCTGAGAGCACAACCACGAGTTCTCAAATACCGAAATGGACAAGCCGTTCCAGACAAACTGAACATACTACATTTCTGGACTCAGTGCTTGAAAGTACTTCCTCTGTTTTCTCCAATCACGATAGTATGCAGTCCATAAGTGCCAAGTTTTGCTCTCAGCTTGAAAACACTCAAAGTGCAGCATTACCAAACCAGACAGATCTGATGCAATTACCAATAACTCAGACATGGGCAGCACCTTCAATGGAGAATTTGGATTCAGGTTTTTCTGTACTTCCCTACCGCTCTACGATTTTATCTGACAACCAGCACACAAACCCATCATACCATTCTGACACAGTCTTAGATTACGCGTCTGCCTCATCTTATGATGACATCAACCCCCTTTCTGTGAATGCCAACACACCCTCAAGTGTGATGAACGAAGCCTCAAAATATGTGTCAAGCTCTCTTAGAGTACTACATGCCCTTAACAGTGAGCAGACTTGTGATTTGTCACAGGTTGAGTCAAGCGTTAATCCTGGATTCAGTCGGATTGGACAAAACCATCCCGGTGATATTTCCATCTGCCCTTTGTCTGGGCAGAATGGCAGCCTATATTTTTCAACTTTGGCTTCAGAGGCAGGTCCTATTTCAGTGCAGCCATTGGGAAATTCAAACAAAGAAATCAGCACTGATAGTACTGATGCATTACTCTCATCAGATGTAAAAACTGTGTCGAATCTTTTAACCCCTCATTTTAAGGAATCATCAGAAGATTTCTTTAGTGTTGGTGAGAAAAGTCCAAAAGATTTTTGTGATCATGAATTGACACAGGAAGGAACAGAAGGAATCCCTTCAGATGATCAGAATGTTTCAGGTTCTGGTGAAACTAGGAAATCCAAAAAAGTTAAATCATCTAAGAGAGCAAAATGGCCTGCCATAATACAGGATGGGAAAGTCATTTGTTGCAGGTGCTACAGAGAGTTTTCAAGCACAAAGTCACTTGGAGGTCATTTATCAAAACGTTCCCAGTGCAAACCTGTAGATGAAATTGATCTTACTGCTGACTTACCAGTATCATTTCTTGATTTTCTGAATGATCCTGATATTTCAACGGCACAAATACCTCTCCCCATGATTGACATACTTGAGCAGACTCACAAACCCTGCATCTATGCACCATCAGAATCAAATACCTTTAACAGTAACACTTTAATAAGCATGCATGGTGGCACAGATAGCATCCAGAACACTAATTTGTCCTGTCAAGACCCCACTGAAGTGACTACAAATTACAGTTTATTTCATCCACCTGTATCAAACACTGGCATAGAAATCAAACATGAAGCTGAAATCATCTCTGCAAATACTGGTGAAGATGGCAAAATCGTAGAAATTGAAAGGGCATTACAACGTCTTGATTTAGTTGATATACTCAGTCGAGACAAATGTGAGATCAAATCTGAGAGCACTAACCTGCATGATCAAAGCTCTAAAGATGTCACCAGAAATGATCAGTGTCACACAATTGAAGATCCTGTACAAAACGAGCAGAAATGTGTTTTAAAGCCCTTTAGATGTGAAGAAGGCTGTGTTTATGGAGCAATGACAAAAGAAGCTTTATTTAAACACCTTAGCCGTGTACATGATTACAGCGAGGACAGGATAAATCAAATGAAGAAAAACCCTGACAAATTAGCACCATACAACTGTCATTTATGTTCAAAGGGATTTACCAGAACCACAGGCCTTAAAATCCACTACAAAAATGTCCACCATTTTTCAAAAGAAGAAATGTCTCACTTGAAAATCGGTCTTGGTTATAGAAAGATCAGAAAATCTACATCAAAGTCAAAAAAAGTCATCACTGACCAGGGAAATGACTCCCTATCAGAGCAGATTCAACACCAAATCAATCCAAATCTGACTGTTACATCTGTTGATTCAAATGTTGAAGGAGAAGCCAACATTGTTACCAAAAGAAAAAAGAAACGCCCCACACAAAAGTCCCTTACAGTTTCCAGCACTGAGACTTGCAGAACTGTGGAAGCATCAAAGGAAAACGTAAATCTTGAAGGGCTTTCAGCTACATGTGTAAAACCGCTGAAAGACCCGTCTCTGACTGAAGAGAATCATGTCAGTGAATTAAATGAACCATGTATATTTGCAATGCAAGAGCTGAGTGATGGAAGCCCCCATCTCTTTGACACAATGGATGCTCCAGACGAAAGAACAGAAAATCCAACTCCAGAATCTAACAGACAAATTGAAATGAATTCAGATGTGATGGTTGATATTCAAGAGAAACCTACAATGCCAATAGACACCATTGATCCTGGTGATTCAAGTGATGCGCACTGTATGTTCCGGCCATATCGATGTGTGCATGAAGGATGTGTGGCTGCCTTTTCAATCCAACACAATCTTATCCTCCATTATAGGGCTATGCATCAGTCAGAACGTGATGAAAAGAACAGTGCTAAAGAAACTGATGGAGTTGTCCAAGTGCAGGAATACAGATGCCAAGTCAAACAATGTTCAAAAGTAGTGTCGAAAGTTACCAGTTTGTTGAAACACTATCTTTTGCTCCACAGATGCACATTGGAAAAGGCAAGTGCATTGTTATCCGGTGTTGAGGTAGGCACGTTTCAGTGTGACCAGTCAAAATGTTCTGCTCACTTTACGTGTCATTTGAAATACATTGATCATATCAAAAATGATCACAAAGCAATAAAGGTTTCAGCAGATGGGGACTTTGAGAGTGTGGACCTCACATTCAGATGTCAATTTGAAGGTTGCGATAGGGTCTATACAACCAAGTCAAACCTTCTTCGACACCTTATGAAGAAACATGATGCTACTTTTGAAACTATGAAAGAGAAACAAAAAAGTGGAATTGGGAATGATGTTCAAGCAAAAAAGTTAAGTGCGAGTTCTAACAATGGAAAAGAGAACATTGCAAATAACAATATAAAAATGAAAAAGAAGAATTCAAAAAAGAGAGAGGACAAGGCCAAAAACCTTTTGATGACCTTAGAAAAGCCTGCTCTTAAATCCATTGATGAAGCATCTGCCATGTGCAATCAAAGACTTCCTCTACAGTACCCATGTATGGTTGAGAGTTGTGATTCAATAATGAGTGATGAGCAGAGTATATTGAAACATTACACCACTCATGGCCTCACGGAACAGTACATTGAGGATCAAAGAAGCCAGTTCATATTTTGCATGAAAAGCAGTGAGATGCCCAGAGCAGATAGTACGTCAAAAAATATTGAGGTGGAGCAAACAGTTTTTGATGAAGATCACACAGAAAATGTGAACGTCAGTCCTCAAGATGTTGGCCCAGATCCTGCAGCTGAGGTTCTAGTTAATGAAAGTTTCACTGCCACAACCATGCCTGTGGTCAAACGGAAAAGAGGTCGTCCACGAAAGTCAGAATGTAGAAACAAAATGTGTGTAGAAAGAAAGAAAAGTCTTCGTAACTGCACCGGGGAGCATGTTAAATGTATGCTGAAAGTCTCAGGATCCATATTGAACTCATCTAGCTCTCAAGGGAACCAAGTAGAGAAAGACTTTGCACTAAAACTATATAAGCCTTCAGAGTTTGAGACATCTGTCCTGAAGTTCAGTGAAGACACTCTATCCAATCCATCAAAACGACAGCGAACACTTCAACCAATCATCCAAGAGAGAGATCAAGTCCAATGTCTTGTTAATTTCAGAAATCCACTAAAGATTGAGAATGTGAAGAATGTTAAAATTGTTATGGATGAGAACCTATCCAGTTGTTCTGAACTTTTGCTGAAGCAACTTCAAGATATGCAGCCCATGGTCATCCTGGAAAAGGGGCTGCACAGTTGATGGTTAGATTAGAGACATAAAATCAAGGCCTTGCTCTCAGGACCACATACTGTGTCACATGCTGCTGGCAGGTACATCCGGTTACACTCCCTTGCATTTATAGTAGTTCCAACACCTTGTTTGTTAATGGATTTTGATTAGTGCTTTAGAAGAAAAACAACTTTTGTACAATATTTAACATTTTGATGTACCATTATGGTTGTGTTAAAAAAACCATTTTGTATTTCTGAAATTCTCGGATGAATATTAGATGAAAACATTTTTAAAAATGTTCAATTTTGTGTAGGATGAAAAAAGTTATGATATATCCCTGTGGGATTTGTATTCTTTTTTTTTTTTTTTGTTGTTGTTGTTGTTGTTTTTGAAAGTATTTATTTTTAACTTAACAGTAGTGTCAATGTACTTGTCTTCCACCTAACATTCAATTTAAGTAAACTGAATGCTCAGTGTAAATTGTGGCATCCACATGACTGCTTGGTGTCGGATTGTGGTGTTTGCAATTCTGAGGTTTTCTCCAGAAATCAAGAATGAGGTGAAATGTTTCAGTGTGAACATTCAATATAGCACAGAGTTGAAGGACAGAGTACAAATTAAGGACGGAAAAAATAAAGATGTTAAAAGAATCTACAAGTGCAAAGTATTTTTTTTTGTGTGTGTGTAGTGTTATAATAAAAATGTATGCACACTACGCATGGGCATGTAGTGAAAAACAATACATACAAATCAAATTTAGTGGCAATCAATCAAAACCCTGGTTATGGATAACCCCGGTTCACGGAACGAAGTCACATGAATGCAGCTACACTGACTTCGCAAGTACTTCTGAGGCACATCAGGATTGATCAAGTCAAGTTTGAGCCTCCCCTCCACACAAGACATTAGGGCCACTGAAAATGTTACAGTTAAAGTTCTGAAAATGGATTATGTTAGAGGAGCTTATGTCCTCTTTAATGCAGCGTCTATGACGGCCAAAAAAAACGCGCTGCAAAATGGGCTGATGGTGCAATAGGCTGCTCGGTATGTATTGTCCATAAAAGGTGGCACACTGTCATATGGTAGTAAACACAAGTTCCTAAAGTCAGCTTTTATAATAAGCATTTATGAGTCAGATCATTTATAAGGTGATGTGCTGAGCCAGTGAATGTTTGCGCAGGTGGAAATGAGGACACAGATGAGGATAAGGAGAAAAACAACGTTTTTCTTGCATAGTTTTTCCAAGGTTTGCTTGTATAGAGCTGTCACCGTAATACTCACTAAATTTGTTGCCGTCCTCCATATTCACTGAGTGAGCAAATAACTACCGGTAGGTTATGTAAAATCTTTGGAGTGATGTCCATCAGCGCAGAATTGATCTAAAGTGCTGTAAAAGTCGGATGAATACCCAAATAACTGTATTTCAAAAAACAAAACAATAAATAAATTGAGATTTGGACCACTTTTGCCTGTAGTCTGAATGTAGACTATTGTCTTAAGGACTGTTAGTTGATATCCTCATTGTGAAAAGATGGATCTCAAAATCAGTGTTGGAAAGTAATCAGTGTATGTAATCTTATGACTGCAACTGTATTTTACCCTTGTAAAGCCTGACATTTAAAATGTTTTTAAATTGAACAGTTTATTGAAACTTTAGACAAAATATAACTAAGACTACATCCAGGCCATAACTAAAAATGGAGGGACACTTCCATATCAATCTCTTTGCAGCTGCATGTGGTAGGTAAAGGAGTGTTTTGAAAGCTGAAAAGCTACAGCAATCATTACTACTCGTACCGCTTATCTCTTTTTCAATTCACAATACTTGTCTCTGACAGACACTCAGTAATACACAGGGTTTCAGCTCATGAAGAAACACTCGTTGGCTCTGACTGTTCTCACTGCGGGCATATGCTGTGTACATGAAATAAACTGCTCCCGAGCAGGTTTGAGCTTACAGACATGGTGCTGTGACAGCAACTCCGGGATGAGCTTTGAAAAACCTAGCAATCCTGGATCATGTCAAATCATCAACAATGAAATCCAGCTAATTGAGTAATCCACATACAGACCCCTGGTGTGAGTGAGTGGAGATGGTGCTAATTTGCATATTCATAGAAATGCGTATATGAAGCAAGGGTGAAGTTACATTCAAGCTATTTTTAAGACATGAATAAAAAAATCACAGGAAAAAACTTTTAATTATATAATTTTGGTGATCAAAGATAAGTCAGCCCTCATCATGAGCACTATAAGTAGCACACACACCCCTCAGTCTTGATGCTGCAGACTCACTTACCTGCTAGAAGCTCCTGAAATACTCTACCTACCTTGTTACCTCGATCCAGTCACCCAAGTTGTCATCCCTCGTCTTCTTGTCTGTGCCCTTGTGTGTACTCTGCAAACCTGTAAGACAAGCTCAACGTTAATGTCAAGTCTGCCAATAACTCTATTGATTAACTTATCTGTTTATGGACTGAGCTCCTAATGTTTCATTAATAAACTTGCCTATTTTAACTGATCCATCTCTGTTACTGTCATTGTGTCTAAGCCTGTACATGACAGAGCTTCTCTCTCCACATCTGAAGATCCCATCTCTGGTAAATATGCTCTGGACAGGCACTATCAACTGATAATTCTCTGGTCTGGTAATCTTGGGTCATTGAATTCTAGCAGGAACTCTATTTAAAGGGTTTTTTCATAATAATTTCCAGTTGTTTGTGATTGTTTAAAGATCAGCCTCTTGGCCATAAACAAATTTAAAAACGTTTTGGTCCAAATATTGCAAGCATCTTTTTTTCTCATTTTCAATCTGTACATAGCATTGTTCAGTTACTGTCATTGCACGAGAGGCATATGGAACAAGCTCTTGAAGCAAAACTGCACTGAGACCACTTTTCAGAGCATTCACTGAGATGGGTCACTGGCACATCATAATAGCAGAGTACTGAAGCCTCTGTAAGCATTATGTTTAACTTGCTCAGTAGGCAGCTGCTTTTCCACTTCCCAATGCCATGCAATACTGTTGTGTGTTGAGAATAATTGGAATGAACTTTGCAAGAAATGTCACCATTCCAAAGAACTGAAACAAATTCTTGTTACACTCAGGAACTGGCATCTTCTGAATTTCTTTCACTTTGGCCAAATCTGGCTTCAGCCCTTCTTTTGATAGAATATCACTATTATATTAGTATTTTTACCCTATTAGCTTGAAGTTCTTTCTAGAAGGACGTGTATGACAGTTGCGCTCGCTTTTACGGCCCTAATGGTGTATTAAAATTTTAAAGATTTTTGCATCATTCACTTCTTGCCAGGATCCTGAATTTGCATCCAATACTGAAAAAATATTTAACTTTGGCATGTGATTTCATCAACTGTGGGTAGTGTTCTCTCAGTACTGCTCCATTAAGATAACCTGGGTCTAAGAAATTTCTTAAAGTCCCATTAGGCCTCTCAACAATAAGAGAGAAAAGCGAGATTTACCCACTTTGTAAGCTCTTCAATTCTTTCTATCTCTTTCATTGTTTTTATTTTACTGTATTTAGCTCTAGTTTGAATTTTTCTTTTATTGTGATTTGTATTTTCCTAGCTGGATGTACATTTGGAGTCACATTTCCATCCACTCGGCTACGTTCAGACTGTTAGTCCAAATCCGATTTTTGTGCATCCAATTTAAATCCGATCATTTAGCTAGTGTATATGGCTAAAAATCACATGATATGTGATCTTTACAAATCCGTTTCGAGCTACATTCATATGTGGTTTGAAATCCTATTTAAATCGCATTTCTGGAAATCCGTTTCAGTCTGACCGCTCTGATCGGATTTCGCGTGGTTTATGTGACTTTCTCACGGCACGTAAAAAACTTAAACATCAGCCGTTGTTATAGAAAACATGCTGAAAGTCACTGAAGAAGCAAGGTTGTGTTGTTGCAAAGTGCCGGAAGAGCAGAAAATGGCAATGTAACGGACACATGGTTTGAAACTGGTGGAGACCACAGCACGGGATAAAGCCACGCATACCAGCCTCCTATACGTGACGCAGTAATCCAGCGTGGAGGCTGTGTAGTTTAGTGTATTTCTTGAAAAGTTGCTTCATTAAGCTACTGTAGCTACTGCTACAGCCTGTAGTGTAAAACTCTTAAGAGAAGGCCTCAGGTCACAGAATTCACTATGTCTGACTTCAGATGTCTTAATATGAAGATCCATATTAAGCGCACTGATGCAAATGACACTGTAAAATAGGGTTTTCTATGTGTTGCTTTGATGCTAAACCAGGTGACTGCTCTCCACTATTAGGAATGGAGCCAGGAAAAGAGATGATTGATTGGGTAGGATGGATGAACAATAAGGATGTAACGGTGCATGTATGTATTCATCCCGAACTGTACGGTACAGGCGTCACGGTTTGGTGCATACATCCATTCGCACAACGAATAGCCTACATTCAGTCAAAGGCGATCCACACTACAATCCAGAAGGGGGAATCCGCAGCAATGCAACGCTGTTTGCCACCAGTAAAAAGCGCAGAAGAAGAAGAAGAAGCAGAATAGACGATTAATCGATGGGTGCTTCTCAATACTCAAATTGATGCTTCCTCGTTTCCTCACTCCTCCGTCCTCCAGCCTGTGACCCAGAAACCGATCAAATTCAGCCACCTTGAAGGACATCTCAATTCTCAAACTGCACCACGAGGAGGAGGAAGGAATCCTTTGAGCACAGCTTTGAAGTGACGCTCGAGTGATCAAGAAAATAGGGTGCTTCTCAATTCATATTTTTGCATGCTCGTTTCCTTTCTTTGCGTCTCAGCTCCACCCCCTGTAGGATGCGAGGGAAGGCTGCAAGGAAAGAAAAGGAGGACGGAGGAATCGAAGGAAAGCTTATTTGTACATTGGAATACTTGATCACTCGAGCATCACTTCACAGCGTCATCAGCAGCGCTCAAAGGATCTGCCCTTATGTTATTAAAGTTTGGTTATTTAAGAAATTCATAATAAATAATAATAAAGCATGATACCCTGTTGAAAAATGTGAGATGTGTTGTTTATTTAAACTGCAAAGGTAAAGTATAAATTTAAATTATTGTGACCGATGTGAAGGGGGAGGAGAATTTATACGTGCATCACGTTTAGTCGATAAACCTCTTCCGCATAGGATACACCTGTGCATCCTCGCTCATAACTCCTCAGGAAGCTCCTCACTCCTCGATCCTCGCCTCCTCACTCCTCGATCCTCACCTCCTCACTCCTCGATCCTCACTCCCTCGATCCTCGCCTTCTCACTCCCTCGATCCTCGCCTCCTCACTCCTCGATCCTCGCCTCCTCACTCCTCGATCCTCACTCCCTCGATCCTCGCCTCCTCACTCTCCCGATCCTCGCCTCCTCACTCCTCGATCCTCGCCTCCTCACTCCTCGATCCTCACTCCCTCGATCCTCGCCTCCTCACTCTCCCGATCCTCGCCTCCTCACTCCCTCGATCCTCGCCTCCTCACTCCCTCAATCCTCGCCTCCTCACTCCCTCGATCCTCGCCTCCTCACTCCTCGATCCTCACTCCCTCGATCCTCGCCTCCTCACTCCTCGATCCTCGCCTCCTCACTCCTCGATCCTCGCCTCCTCATTAGAGATGCGCGGATGGGCTATTATTTCATCC